TGCTCCTCGATTGCGTGTAGAAAAGATAAAAACTCCAAATAAAAATAAAAGGTAAAAGATCGAAAAAAAGACCCCCCAATTGTGTGCCTGACTTGGTCTTATATAGGGTGAAGAACTTGGGGAAGAAGGCAGTTTCCTTGTGCAATTAAAATCCCTTTTCTGCGCAATTTCGGAGTCTCGGACGGGGGTCCCACGATTTGCACTAAAACTGGGACGGGGGTCCGAGCTTTAAATCTTCAGAATTTTGATTTTTTCACTTTTGGCCCATATTTTCTCCAAAATTGCAGTTTTGACCCCATACTTTTCCAATTCTTCAATTTGTCCCTTAAATACAAATAATAACCAAATTAAGCACCAATTATCGTAAAAACACATCAAAAGCTCCAATTAAAAGGTACAATTAAGTGTATAAATATACACTTAACAGTGACCGCAATCACTGCACAGTTAGAAAAGCTATCAAAGCAGGTAGCAGCTTTGCAGACTCAGCAAGTCCATGCAGTCCAAGGTCCCGACCGGTGCTTAGAAGAAACGGAGTCTCTAAATTACGTGAATGACACCAACCGGCAACAGAGGAACCCGTACTCCAACACGTATAATCCGGGATGGAAAGATCACCCTAACTTTGGATGGGGAGGAAATCAGCAAGGACAAAGGCCAGCTCCCGGATTCCAAAATCCGCCTCAAGCTCCACCTCAAAGTGGAGATCTAGCAAACATCTTAGCACAATTCATGACATCAACGCAAGCTTCCATTCGAAATTTGGAGACACACATGGGGCAACTTGCAACCCAACTAAATGCGAGGCCGTCGGGAGCACTGCCGTCGAATACGGAAGATCCTCGAAAGAGCAACATCGAGCAATGCAATGCAGTGAGTTTGCGAAATGGGAGGCAATTAGAGGAAGTTCCTAAAAAGTCCGTTGCACCACCGCCTATTGTCGAGGAGCCCAAGGAAAAAACCGAGGTCGGGCCAAGCAACACAAAGATCACAGTAAGCGAACCTACTCCCAAGGTACCTTTCCCTCAACGTTTTCAAAACTCTAAGCTTGATATGCAATTTCAGTTATTTTTGGATTATCTTAAAAAGTTGCATGTTAATATTCCTTTTGTTGAGACACTTAAGCATATGCCGAATTGGGTTAAGTTTATAAAGGAACTTGTATCGAAGAAGATGAGGCTTCCGGAGTGTGCAGCAATCATAGACCTCAATGAGCAAAGTAGTGCTATCCTTGCAAATAAAATTCCACCGAAGCTTAGAGATCCGGGCAGTTGTACCATTCCATGCACAATAGGTACTAGGTATTTTGGGCGGGCGTTGTGTGATCAAGGGGCGAGCGTAAATTTAATGCCTTTATCAATTTATGAGAAATTGAATTTAGGAGAAATTAAGCCCACTTCCTTGACCTTGCAGCTAGCCGATAGATCTTTTACTCACCCTTTAGGTATAGTGGAGGATGTATTGGTCAAGGTTGATAAGTTCATACTACCGGCCGATTTTCTAGTACTAGACATAGAGGAAGATGCAAATATTCCCCTTATCTTAGGACGCCCCTTCTTAGCCACCGGTAGATCAATTATTGATGTAGGAAAGAGAGAGCTAAGAATGAGTGTGGGGGAAGAAACAGTGATCTTCAAGGTGTACCGGGTCGATGAAAAGCCTATTACGGCTAATGGATGTTATCTTCTTGATGAGGTAAGTGATTCTAAACTTTTTCCCGTTAAATTACATGATTTAAATTTTTTTGTGGATACTAATGTGCATGTAGGAGAACAAAAGAAAAAGGTTGAGTTGGTTACAACACCTACTCAAAACACCGTGATAAAAGATGATGTTGGCAAGCCTCATGACATAAAAAAGAATAAATTCAATGGCATTCCTAAGCGAACCAGTCGAAAGAGGAATCGGATCAACCCATTTATTCAAGACTTTCTCCAAAAGGAAGTAAGGAGATGGGTTCAAAAGCTAAGGAATTGAAGAGCAAGAACAAAGTCTGGCTGAAGACTATAAACTTAGCGCTTCTCGGGAGGCAACCCGAGATTTTCGTTTTTTATTTTATTTTATTTATTTTTCTTGTTTTATTTTGTTTATTTATTTTATAAGCATGCAAGCTAATAAATTAAACATGTTTTTAATTTTTAGGACCAAAAAATCGCAAATTTGCAGCTCATACGGCCGTCCCAAAACAAGGCTTAATTTCACACGGCCGTGTGAAAAATCTGGAAGCTACTGCCCAATTTTGGCAAATCGCACGGCCGTGCGGAAAATAGTTCAAAATTTCATACGGCCGTGCGAAACGCAGCAGAAGCATAATAAAAGCGAGGGTGAAGAGCAGCCTGGACATGGCCAAAACGACTTATTCAAGTGTATTCTATCCTTAAACTTCGTACTAATTACATTGAGGGCAATGTAAATTTTAAGTTTGGGGGTGGATAATTACTTGTTTATGTGCTTTAATTTTTTAGTTTGCATGCCTTAGGATTTTTTTTTTATTTCAGTTGTTTTAGTTTATTTATTGCTTTAAAAAAAAATTGCTTGAGATAAATGCTTCGATGAATCATGATGATGAAAGATGGTCGATGTTTAATGATGAAATTGCTTGTTTTATCTTGATTTTGATCGAATTTTGGTGAGCTTTTGATTCAAAGTGTCGTAAGAAGGAGTCATTGTTAGGAATCTCGAATTATGCGTTGCTTTGGTTGAAAGTTTTGTGTTTTAAAATTTGAGTTAATTTATGTTATATCATATGCTATTCGGTTTTAGAACTTGTCTTATGAATTTACAAAGTGAAATATTAAATTGTTGAGCAATTTGGGAAGTGATTTGGGCCATCTTTGAACCGTTTGAGCCTTTCAAGCCTACCTTTAAATTTTATCATTCGAACCTTGATTGAGCCTTGGAGAAACGGTGTTCTTTCTTTTAGCCAATGTGTATAAGGTAGAATAAGTGGAGATTTTTGAAAAATTAACCCTTGGAGTTCGGTCGAAATTTTTTTATAAGGTCTTTCTTCTTCTTCGAAAAAAAAAAAAAAAAAAAAGAAATATAAAAAAAAAATAATAATAATAAAAAAAAGAGAAAGAAAAAAGAAGAAGAAGAGACTAGAAGGGGAAGTAAGGACTAGTTGTTGAATTGTTTTGAAAGCTCGATCCATTGTCTTAAGAGCAAAAGTGGAGACTTTTGAACTCTTAAGAATCGAGTTTATTAAAGTCCTTAGAGGTGAATTCATTGTTTCAAACGCCTATCTATCAAAATTTGGCGTAATCATCTCAATTCAAGAAGCATAGCCACCTATACCCATATCTCCTACCTCGAACCAAAAAGCCCAACATTTGAAAGCCAAAAAGTCCCAATGATCCCAATAGCTCAATTATTTGATACTAGCCGAGTAAAGAAATTTGGTGAGTATTTGGAGTTGAATATTAATATGTAAGTATAAATTTTCTCAATTTTTAATGTACAAATATGGGATACTTGAAGCGATAGCATGGTTTGTGGTTTTTAGCAATGGTGAGTGAATACGTATCTTTGAATTACGAGCTTGTAAATTTTTGAGAATTGTCATGATAATTGCAAGTTCTGAAAAAATGAAAGTTGACCATTAATCTATGTGATGAGAGGCATTTGTTGAGGGTGTTGCTGTGAAAGTTGCTAGTTTTTGCTTGAGGACAAACAAAAGATCAAGTTTGGGGGTGTGTTAAGTATATATTTTTACACTTTACCGTACCTTTTTATTTGAGCTTTTGGTGTGATTTAACGATAATTGGTGCTTAAAAAGTTGATTTATTGTATTTTAGGTATAAATTGAAGAATTAGAAAAGTTTGGGGTCAAAACTGCAATTTTGGAGAAAATATGGGCCAAAAGTGAAATAATCAAAAATCTGAAGAAATTGGCATGGGACAGCCGTCCCAAATTTACACCTAAAAATGGGACGGCCGTGCCAAATGCAGAAATTGGGCAGAAGGTTTCGGCGATTCTCGCCCGGCCGTGTGAGAATTGCACTGATTTTCGCGCGGCCGTGCCAACACACGCTGGAGACAATTTTGGACTTTTAATCACACAAGGAAACCTAAAATCATCTACCAAGTTGGGACATCTATTTAAGCCCAAACCAAGCACGAATTAGACAACTTTGGACACAACCTTGGAGCGAGAGGAGCGAGAGAACGAAGAATCGAAGACGGAGAATTGACAACTCTTCATCATAATTCTTCTTTCACTTATTTTTTCTTAATCTATGACTTTTATTATGTTTTTCGTCATGAGTAGCTAAGTTTTTTATCTAGGATTTTGTTGGAACCCTATGTGGGGATTGTGAACCCGTTTTCTTGAGATTATGCAATTATGATTTTATGATTATTTCCTATACTTGTTATGATTGTTAGTGCATGAACTTGATCAATTTATGTGCTTTATCTGTGATTATTGGGATTGACTCGACAGAGCTATTTTGATAATTAGACGGTAAGTATAAGAACATTCAGGTAGTTTTCACCGGATGAGTGTGTCAATTGCATGTGGTGTCGTAGACATACATATATCACCTTAGGTAGCCATTTACGAGACTTGTTAGTTAATGCTTTATTGATAATTTGTTTGCATAGACATATAGTGAACCGTTTATGAATAATAGACTCATAATACACGCGACAGCGGGTTATGAGTAAATTAGTGTCTCGGGTTAATAATCATGAATCATATATTTCATAATTGAGGGGTTTTGGGTGAGCAATTCTTGCATAGGGGGAAGATAAAATCCTAGATCCGTTTTTATTGATATTTTTTCGTGTCTATTTGCTTTCATAATTAGTTTAATTATTTAGTTGATTAAATTTGACAACTTTGCGTAGGCTGGATAAAAATCATAATTGTTAGAATTTGGTACTTAGGATTAGATAATTTGTGTATTCCCTGTGGGATCGACATCCGACTCTCACGAGTCCACTTTTACTACTTGTTTGCGATACGTGCACTTGCGTGTTAGGTATTTAGCACCCAACATATATACCTCATGTCTCTTATGTGGTTGTTATCTTTTGTAGATGGGGGTATCACCTTTGCGGCACTTTGAGCTAAGGCGAATGGGACGTCAAAGAAGGCATCGAAGAAGGTTCCCGCTACGCTGGGAGGTTCTTCAGGCGGTTTGCCTCGTGAGACGGTCCATGTAGAAACTCATCGAGTGGTCGAAGATGACCGTAGCAGTGCTGGTGAAGTGGAGGGGCGTCCACTTACGAGAGATCGTGGCAAGGGAAAAAGGGTGGATACCGAGTATGTGGCCATGCCCAAGCGTCCACGGGTAGAACCCGAGGAGACCTATGCTTTCCATGGTGGGGCGGGGAAACAGTTGTTTGCTTATGGCGTGAATTGCGAAGGTAAGGAGTCGTATTGGGATGTGTCGGACCATGATCTGCCGATGTTGAGTACCGAGGGATTCGTTCGGGAGTATGATCGCGCTCGGATGTCTGGTAAGGGTCCTTCTCACATGTTGGAGTTAGCTGGTGGGGACATATGTCGGGTGAGTGCTTGTCTGTTTAAAACAAGATTTTATGTTTATTTCCTTTAGACTTGCGAAAAAATTTATTATTATTAATTTATTTTTTATATAGTTGGTAGCAACTTGGAGATATCTCATGGAGCAAGGTAGGAACGTGGAAGCTAGGAAGGAGGAGGAGCGGGCCCGAAGTCAGGCGCGTGAGGACGAACTTCTAAGCCAGTTGGAGATAGCGCGGTCCGATCTTGCTCAACGGTCGCAGGAGCTTGCCCAGAGGACAGAGGAGCTTGCTCAGAGGACAGAGGAGCTCGAGGTTATCCGAGGTGATGCGAAGGCATATAAGGATGATGCTCATAAGTTGAACGAGTGCTATGACCAGCTCAAAGAGAAATACGAAGTTGAGAAGGCGACGGGGAAGAGGTTCCTCGCGACGTCAGGTGGTGCTGCTTATAAGGAGTCCATCGTGGAGGAAACCAAGCTTAGTTTCCGAGGTAGTGATGAGTGTACTGCTATGATTGAAAAACATGCTTTGGCTGTGGTCTATAAGCCATTAGTTCGTGCTTGTCGCAAATATCTTCGCGATGCGGGTGGTATCAGTGAGAAGGTTATTCGCGGGATGGAGGCTGGTATATCCGATGAAGAGGGGGATGAGGTCGATGGCAACGAAACGGGCACAGAGCTCGTGGATGACATGGTTGCTGATGATCCAACTGTGAGGGCGTCTTCTGCCCGTGGTAGTGGATTTTAGATATTTTTGCTAGGATAGTTAAACTCTTTTTTATTTATTATTGCTATGGATTTCTTAATTTATTTTTATCGCTGATGTAGATGGGTATGTCCACTACTGTTTCGTTTGAATCTCTTCCTTTTGTGACATTTGAAGTTTTGATATTAAGTTATTTATTTTGACATTGTCAAGATTTTTTGCGTCGCTTAAGTGTATTAACATTTAGCGTTGTATGCGATGTACTTGAGGAGGGGATCAGTCTCCCAAGGTTTTTGTTAAGGGTCGTGCCCTGTGTTTGGACCACTTGGGTCTACCATATATTTGTCCGTGGCCACGTTTTAAAAGTAGCACCTTGTGAAACAAATAAAGGGACTCAGATAATCCAGCTGGCCAGGCTATACGGATTATCTAAATCTATCTAGGTGTTTGTAGGGTGGTATTGAATTGAACTCATGGTAAGAGGTAATTTGTATAGATGTAAAGGCACAGATAGTAAAGCGAAAAGTATGATTTATTCAACGATAGCAAAGGAGAATTGTTACAGGCCTATGTGAGGCGAATGTAAGTAAATAGCTAATGCGATAGGCCTACGTGAGGCGAAGGTAAATAACTACTGCTAAAGCAAATAAATTGACTCGATACATTTTTTTCTAAGTGATTGTACTACCCTTGTTCTTCTTCCACGTCTTCCTTGTACTCGTTCGTTTCGCTGTGCTGATGGTAAATGAATTCCTTTGGCGTCTCTATGCCTGTCAAGTATAATTGAGAAAAAAGGAATTTTGTTTAAGCATTTGTATTGAAGACTTAATAATTGAAGCTGAGGGGATGTGCACTGCAAATTCCCGTACCCTACTACGGGGATGGTTTTTCTTCCTCGCACTTCGAGATATGAAATCAACTCGTGAATTGCTGTGATTTGCTGTGTGATCATGCCTGTTAGATGGAATGATTTTTTCACGTTAGTAAGAGTAAACAAGAGCATGCGTGTGTTGTAGTCTAGTGGAAGTATTGTTACCCTTGGCGATATGGTATGGGGTGTCTTCGCTCTTTGGGCCATTGATTGAGAAATATGCATCCTCTCGTAATTGGTTCTCAATCTGTAATAAGATGGTGAGATGTGAATATGAATTGCTGATGTAAGTAAATCTACTAGCCCCCCAGCTTAATGAGGATGTTAACGCACCTCGTTATGTAGTAGAAAATTTCCAAGCTTGTAGAAACAGCTTTTACAAGACGAGTGACGTGGAAGATCGCGGAGCCTTAAGCGTAGAACCGTTTGAGGCCATATTCCATGTTCTGGGTATAGGGTGGCCGTCAATGTTCTCGAGGCGATATGCTCCAGTGTTGACCACCTTTGTGATTTTATATGGTCCTTCCCACTTTGGGTCGAGCTTACCGATGGGTGAGAGGCTTCAGCTTTTCGGAGGACTAAATCTCCAACTTGAAAGGAGCGAGGGCGGACCTTTGAGTTATAGGCCTTGGCCATGCGTGATTTATATATCTATTGTTGGATGTATGCAATCTCACGTAACTCATCTACGAGGTCTAGGCTTCCCCGCATAGCCTCTTCATTAGCTGCTGGATCATAGTTGGTGATTCGCCAAGATGGTTCTCCGATTTCGACGGGTGCGATAGCCTCTGTTCCGAAAGCTAGATTGAAGGGCGACTCTCCGGTTGCTGCTCGTGGGGTTGTGCGATAAGCCCATAGTGCGTTAGGCAATTCGTCCACCCACTTCCCTTTGGCACTTCCAAGCCTTGTTTTAAGGTGTTGGAGTATGGTGCGATTCGTGACCTCCGTCTGGCCGTTAGCCTGTGGATTGGCTACGGATGTGAAAAACTGCTTGATGTCCAAGCCGAGGCACCAATTCTTTACTTTGTCACCACAAAATTGCGTTCCGTTATCTGAGATAATGGAACGTGGGATCCCAAAGCGACACACGATGTTCTTCCATAGGAATTGGATGACTTCTTCTTCTCGGATGCATGCTAAGGGTTCAGCTTCCACCCATTTGGTGAAGTAGTCCATTGCTACAATGAGGTATTTACGTCCTCCTGTGGCGGGCGGGAATGGTCCAACTAAATCCATTCCCCATTGGGCGAAAGGGATGGGGCTGTCAATCAGTTGCATTAATGCCGCTGGTAAATGAGGGATATTGGCGTGCTCTTGGCAAGGCTTACACTTCCGGACTAATTTCTTCGAGTCTTCATGCATCGTTGGCCAATAGTAGCCTTGCCTCAGTAGTTTGAGAGCTAAGGTTCTCCCGCTCAAGTGATTGCCGCAAATGCCTTCGTGTACTTCTCTAAGTACGTAATCCGCTGTGGTCGGGTCGAGGCACTTGAGATAGGGGAATGAGAAACCTCGTTTGTACAATTCTTCTCCCACTATAATGAAGCGGACATCTCTCGTTTTTAACTTCCGTGCTTCAGTGGGATCCGTTGGAAGCTCCCCCTTCTTGAGATACTTCAGGATTGGAGTGAACCAGCATGGTTCATCCTCCTCGGTGTACTGTACTTCACTGGGTGAAGTTATCTCCGGCTGAGGTAAGGTGAGGAGCGTCACCTTCCGACTTCCAATGCTGGTCATGGAGCTTCCCAGCCTAGCTAATTTGTCAGCATGGATGTTATTGGAGCGAGGTACTTGTCTTATCTCGTAGCTCTCGAATTTAGATAAGAGAGTGTGCGCGAGAGCTAAGTATTTGGCCATGGTGTCTTCTTTGGCCTCGTAAACTCCGAGTACTTGGTTAACGACGAGCTGAGAGTCGCTTTGGATTAGGAGCTTGCGCGCTCCGGCTGCTAGGGCGAGGCGGATTCCCGCTATCAGTGCTTCGTATTCAGTGACGTTGTTTGAGGCTGTGAATTCGAATCGTTGAGCATATTCGAACTCGTCTCCGTCAGGGTTCGTTAGGACGATACCCGCTCCACCTCCTGTGGCAGTGGAAGATCCATCGACGCTGACAGACCAAGTAGGTAGAGAGGTGCTTTCTTGTACTGAAGTCATTTCGACTAGAAAGTCAACCAATACTTGCGCTTTGATAGCGGGGCGGGGTTTGAATTCGACCCCATATTCACTTAGCTCTATCGCCCATTTTGCTAATCGCCCGGATGTCTCAGGACTCCTTAGTATTTGCTTCAGAGGATAATTGGTGAGAACCACCACTTGATGTGACTGGAAGTAAGGTCGAAGCTTCCGAGTTGCATTGATGAGGGCGAGAGCGAGTTTCTCCATGTTGGTATAGCGTTGCTCGGCTCCTTGGAGGGCGCGACTTATGTAGTATATGGGTTGGTGGTCTTTTCCTCCATCTCGGATGAGGACTGCGCTGACGGCATCAACTGAGGTAGCTAAGTATAATAGAAGGGTGTCTCCGGGTTGAGGTTTTGTGAGCAAGGGTGGTGATGCGAGATATGACTTTAGCTCAGTGAAGGCTTTTTGACATGCCTCATCCCACTCGAACTTTTTTCCTCCCCTTAAAATCTTGAAGAAGGGGAGAGCCTTGTCTGCTGACCTAGAAATGAACCTATTCAGAGATGCCAAACAGCCATTAAGCTGTTGGACTTTCTTGATAGATGTTGGTGGAGCCATTGAGGTGATCGCTTCGATTTTAGCAGGATTAGCTTCGATTCCCCGCTGTGAGATCATATATCCCAAAAATTTCCCTCCCGGAACTCCGAAGGAACATTTGAGGGGGTTGAGTTTCATCTTATATCTTCATAAGGTGTTGAAACATTGATCCTAATCGGTTAAGTGGTCTGATACCTTGACACTTTTGACGAGCATGTCGTCGATGTACACCTCCATATTTTTACCAATCTGATCTGCGAACATTGTGTTCACTAGACGTTGGTAGGTGGATCCTGCGTTTCTTAACCCAAAGGGCATGACTTGATAACAGTAGATGCCTT